GAGGACAGAGGAGGCTCTTAAAGAAGAAGTTACAGGTCTGTGAGAGCCAGAAATCTTGTTTGTTTGTAGGTGACCAAATACTTATTTTCCACCATAATTTTGTTTTTCTCATTTTTGTCTCTCAGGTATACCTAGGATGAAAATGACAGGCCTCTCTCATCTTTTTAAGTGGGAGAACTTGCACAATTGGTGGCTGACTAAATACTTTTTTGCCCCACTGTATATGGTAACATTGTTCATGATTATGTTGAGACGCGCTAGCCAAGCTCAGTTATGTTAGACATCTAATATAAATAGTTGACTCAGATCAGATCCAAAGGTCACTTTGTGGCTGGCATATGCAACAGATAGGGATGTAAATGGTTGGAGAACCAATAACTTCATCTCTGACTTAACTTGATATATTGAAAGTGAAGGTGTCACTCATAATATCCCATCCTGTGTTGATTTATAGGTTGGTGATGAGATTGTGCGCATCAATGGATACTCCATCTCCTCCTGTATCCACGAGGAGGTCATCAGCCTCATCAAGACCAAGAAGATTGTGTCACTCAAAGTCAGGCGTACGTCAAACACAAAAACTAATTTTCCATGTGCATCAATATGAGTAATGTTTTACCCCGAAGTCGTCATTAGTTCATTTTACTTGTTGTTTTTTTTGTGCAGATGTGGGGATGATCCCAGTCAAAAGGTAAAAACATTTATATCCTTAATAGAGCCGCAACGATAGTTTGATAGATTAAATTAACAATAATTGCCATTCCTTATTTTATTTGTATTTTTAGCGATTTACTGTTTTCTTTGGTTTTTTATATCACCTTCAACTGAATATCTTTGGTTTAGGATGGACAAAATATGACATTAAAACACTTTGACAAACTCTCACTTTTTCCTGATATATTTTCTTATAGATCAACTTCAATCTAGAAATAATCCACAGATTAATCTAAAACAAAATAAAATCATTAGCTGCAGTCCTGCTGTTAATATAGTTTACATTTGCAGATTTGTATTTATTGTTTTCTTTTATTTGCATTTTAAGAAATTATTCACGAAGCATGCATAACAAAATCAACACGTATAGATACATACATTAACTACATAACAGTTGACAAATCCGTATTGAAATAATAATAATAATAATACAAATAAAATAATGGATACAATATTAATAGTAATTTTGCTAATTTAATGGTGAAATGTGGGGCTAAAGAGCTGAGATGTAGGAGATCTCTGTGTTCTTATCTGTTCTCTTTTTCTCCAGGTCATCAGAGGAACCTCTCAAGTGGCAGTTTGTCGACCAGTTTGCATCTGAGTCAGGGGTAGGAGACAGATTTATTTATTTCAGTTTCAAGATGTGTATCTCAACTGCAGACATCTCACAGACTTTTTATTTCTGCCACAGGACAAAAAAAGCAGCATTGCAGGCTTGGCGTCCATTGGAGGCAAAGAAATCAAGGAGAAGAAGGTCTTCCTCAGCCTGGTTGGCACCAAGGGTATGGGCATCAGCATCTCCACTGGTCCCACCCAGAAACCTGGTATCTACATCAGTAACGTCAAGCCAGGCTCCCTTTCGGCTGAAGTTGGACTGGAGGTGATTGTTTAAAATAGCCAGAACGTCTCGATGAAACTAAGATACATTCCTGCTGTAAACAAGATCTCTCTCATCCCAAAATGTAGGTTGGAGACCAGATTGTGGAAGTGAACGGGGTGGATTTCACCAATGCGGACCACAAGGAGGTAAATAGTGCTTAACTTAGTTCACTTGCGGTAATGGTGGCTAGAGTCCTAAGTTGTTTTTATTGTGACCAAGACATATTATTTGGTACATTTAGTCCCTTTTATCCAAAGCACCCAATGAGTGCATCTGTTTAAACTGTGCCTGGGCCACTGGCAATGTTTGTTCTACTTTTCAGCTCATTGAGCTAAATGAGTATTTAACCAGCCAAAATGGTTTTGCAAAAGAAAAAAAACAAACATCCTCCATGCACTGTTTGTTATTTGCCAAAGGAGAAAACAAAGCCTGCAGGATTTACAACAAGTCTGAGATCATTTCACACCCGGATACATTTTAGATTACACATACTTCACACAGGCCATGCATTTCTTTGAGACTGTCAATGCAAAACCCTTCATTTTATTCCTCAAATATAACCTCAAACCTTTTTTCTGTTATTATGTCCCCAGGCTGTGAGAGCCCTGAAGAGCAGCCGCAGTCTGACCATTACTGTTCTGACAGGAGCTGTAAGTACACTCTAACTGCGTTATGCTTTGTAAATAAATAATGAGACATTTTAGAGGAATCAATACTTTGTGGTCTTTTGAAGCTCGACTCAAAACTGTGGGTATTGCTGAATTAATTTCTCAATGCGACACCATGGGAGTACAAGTCAAATTACAATGGTGACATACTGAAGTTGTAAAAACAAAAATATGTTTATCAGGGTTTTCACAGATCCTTTATTAGCTTTACATAAAATACTGTAAAATGTAGGCTTAAAAAGGTTTCAAATAGTGTTAAATGATAAAAATGATGCTCTTCTGTTGCATTAGCTAGGGTCTTCAAAATGGGTATATTATTCGGCGGAATAACAAAAATGAAGGTTTTCCACCACGGTCCAACTTTTTCAGCACACCCATGAATCTACATGGTGACTGTCTTGCTATCCTAACAGCTTCATTAAGATTCAAGTTTGCCAAGGTCTTGTTTTTTGGTTGAAAACAATAAAAGCTACAGTAGAAAAAAAGGTTTTAGATTTAGCTAGAGTTAAACGTAGATTACTGTTATAATGGTAAATGGTAAATGGACTGTACTTATATAGCGCTTTATCCAGTCTTTAAGACCCCTCAAAGCGCTTTACATACTACATGTCATTCACCCATTCACACCCATTCATACAGAGCAGTGTACCTTACTCTAGGACCTAACATTCACACACCGTTGGCCATGCCATCGGGAGCAACTCAGGGTTAAGTATCTTGCCCAAGGATACATCGACATGTTGACTGCATGGGCTGGGATCGAACCCACAACCTTCTGGTTGAAAGACGACCACACTCCCTCACAGCCACAGTCGCCCATAATTACTTTGCTTTATGTCAATAATGCCACATACTTAAAGTACTTCTATGACTTATTTTCTTTCTGACTTCTGCCAGTGTGATTGCTAAATAAACACACTCTATATGGTTTCAAAAGTAAATACAAGGTCTTCAAACCTGCAGAAACCTTGGTATATAATATGGCTTGCTGTGTAAATAGTGTTTGGGATCAGAGAATCATTTGTAGATGTAGAGGCATGTGACATGCTTTAAGCCTCTGAGGATCCGCTATGTTGGCGTAATTGACGCACACAAATTTTGAATAAAAGTCAGAAACAAAGTTTCCAGTTCGATACAGTCCATTTATTTCCTTTTCACTGGTTTCCATTTAACTTACTTCTTTCTGTCATTCACCATACACGATATTACGGTTCACACAATACCTTTTGCAAATGTTTGTAATCCCGTGTTTGTGCGTGTTCTCCGTGTGGTCCGTGTGTGGTCAAAAACTGTATGGCCTTCCGGGGGAACCTCTAACCACAGACATAGGTTCCTACCTTTATACCCACAGTTTTAATTGGCTCCTACAGTAGATAAGAAAGAAAAAGAGTTGCAGGTAACATCTGAGTGAACACCTTAGGATACATAAACATCCGCCTTCTCCTCCTTTGCATTCAAGCCACACAGATTCAAGTGCTTTTGGAGACATCTCTTTACCCAGTGTGTGCCTCAGCCTGTCTGTCTCCAGGAGAAGCATCTATCATCAGTGGAGTCACACGGCAGGTTGTTGCCCCGGGACTCGGTGGCGGCCACTGTAACCGTGACAAACTGTCCCCTCTCATCTCCCGTTTCACTTGATGCCTGTCCAATGCATTTCTTTATTTGCATTTTAAGTAAATATTTCAAAGTTCATACATAGCAGTGTTTCTATTGTGTTCTCTATATATTTGAGCATGTATACACCGTTATCATCTGTATTAGAAGAACTACTCAGATCTTGTATTTGGATTAAAGTAGAAACCTACAGTGTTGAATAACTATACAAGTCCTACTTTTGTTATTGAGGGAAGTTCAAAAATTACCCCAAAAGTACCCACGTTGAAGAATGGACCATTGAAGAATATTACACTATTTTTGGGAGTTAAGAAGTCTGCGGCCCCCTGCTGTGCACGGTGTGTGTCCCTTATCATCGCCTCTCTCCCCCTCAGGGCAAGGAGCTGTTCATGACCGATGAGGAGCGTCTGGCGGAGGAGTCCCGCAGGGAGGTGGACCGGCAGGAGCTGATGCACCAGAAGAGAGTGGCCCTGGAGACTAACAAAATCGTTAAAGAGCAGCAGGAGAAGGAGAGGCAGTGAGTAGACCACACAGAGAGAAATCATCTTGAAATGTTTCATTGTGTTATTGTTGTATATTGAAGAATAATGACAGTATCCAAGTCTTATATAGATATAAGTCCAAAAAGTTATGGTAGTGCAATATACATTTATTTAGTTTCAAAAAAGGAATTGTCAAACAATACAAACAAGATTAACCCTTTATGAATTGTCATTTATAAAGTGTCTAAGATAGAATTTCTATTTAAAACTGAGCTCGTGGTTGTGGCCCCCAAAGCGCTGCTCGGGAAGGTTGGAGATCTGCTCCTCAACATCGACAGTTCCATCATCTCACCATCCCCTCAGGTCTGCAACCTTGGCATTGTATTGGATTCAACCCTTTCAATTCAGTATCAAAATCAGCCTTCTTCCACCTCAGAAACATATCCAGACTCCGGTCATCACTTTCCGACTCTGATGCAGAGAAGCTCATTCACTGTTTCATTAGCTCCCGCCTGGACTATTGCAACGGACTCCTGTCCGGGGGTTCCCAGCAAAACCCTGGACAGGCTCCAGTACATCCAGAGCTGCCAGGGTTCTCACACGCACCAAGCCCTGGCAGCACATTACCCCCACTCTCTTCAACCTCCACTGGCTCCCGGTCAACTCCCTCGTCACCTACAAACTCCTCCTCGTCACCTACAAACTCCTCCTCGTCACCTACAAGTCCCTCGTCACCTACAAGTCCCTCCATGCCCTCTCCCCCCAGTACCTCACAGATCTCCTCCACCCTTACATCCCGTCCCGCACCCTTCGATCCTCAGACTCCGGCCTGCTCTCCATTCCCCATTCACGCCTCCGCTCCCTTTGGGTACCGTGCCTTCAGTGTCGCTGCCCCCACCCTCTGGAACTCCCTCCCTGCTGAAATCTGTAACGCCCCTTCTCTGAACATCTTCAAATCAACCCTGAAAACTCATCTGTTCAACAAAGCCTTCCAACATTAACTCACTCTTTCCCCACCCTGCAATGTAACACTTCCATTTCTTTTATGGTTTGTCCTTATATGTTTCTTTGTTAAGCGACCTTGGGTTGATGAAAGGCGCTATATAAATTAAAGTTATTATTATTATTATTATTATTTAAAACCAACGAATGACTGATCTTTCTAACACATACACATTTCCTTACAGTTCATAATCCAAAGTAGCGTTGTGATTTAAGTAGCTTCAACCTTGGCTGCTCAACCAATGACTTACATTTTTCTTCCTGTATGAAAATCAGTACAAAACTGGAACAGAAGAAAAAATGGACTGAGTACAAGTGTTGTTTTTTGGGCAGTTGGCTGACATGTTGATACAGCTCAATACAATAATCCACTTTCAGCTGGAAGGCTCAGCTTTTGTAATTAACTTGGGAAATACTAACATGCGACAATGTGAGACTGAAATCACCCAATAGCATTACTTGACTTCCCTACACCACAACACAACAAAGAAACAGAGTACTCTATGTGTTTCATGTGCTTCACAAACACCCATCTACATAAATCATGGGAGAAGAAAGTAAACAGGTAATTTTATATTGCTCGCCTGCTACATCGATTACATAGATTTATATCCTCGCAGTGTTGTCAGTGCTTTGATCAAGCAATGTCTTAAACAAATATTAAAGTGATATTTTATGTTGAAAGCCTATGGTTTTATTTTGTATATGTATCGTGTGTTTAACAGGAGAAAGATGGAGATCAATCAGAAAGCCGTAGAGGAAGAGGATCGCTATAAAAAAGAGATGGAGAAGTAAACAGCTGATTTATTGTTCTTTAAAAGTGTCAGTATTATTTTGGCTGGTAAAAAAACATCTCTCACGTGTTTTGTTGTCCTCTGCAGGATTGAGGCTGGGGAGAAGAAGCACAACAGAGAGTGGGATGAGGACTGGGGAGCCAAAGACAGGCCCAAGAGCCCTAAGAGCCCGTCCCCCGCCCCACCTGAGACAAAAAACGCCAAATCCAAGAGTTCACGTAAGGCCAGATCTGTGGTGAAATGCATGACTTCTCCTGAACCTTTATATTTACATTTTCTCTGACACTATAGAGTTTTAGACGTTGCTCTTGCCTGGGTTTCACCTTATATCCCCTCCTCTCTTTTGCACGCTCTCTGTGTCTCTTCCTGTCGCCTCTGTGTGCTGTGCTGCTTTTTACATACTCTCCGGTAAGCTGACGAAGCCAGCTCCCTCACAGAGGAAGACAACGAGGAAGAACAAGTGAGTCCGGAGCCTCAGCTGCCATTGTCACAGCTGGCGTGGGAGGATGTTTGGACACACAGAGAAGTGCAAGATTTCCTTTGACAACCAAAATGTAATTTTTGTACAATTGTGTTTTCAGTGTCCTTTGATTAACGGAGCGTCTTTGGGTGTTGTTCAGAGTGCCTGAATGGAGCAGGTTGAATCTGCTTCTCTCATTCATCTCTTTTAGTGCTGTGTTTTGGTTCTCTAGTGTTATGTTTCTATAGAGTTTGCTAAGAATCGGTTCTAACCTTGGACAAGTTTAACAAAGCTGTGAGAGTGACCTGTTTTCATCTCCACCCTTAGCATTCGGCTGGTTTTATCGGTATGAGGGAAAACTGCCTTCACTCCGCAAGGTACTGTCCCCCAGAGTTCAGAGTGGTGTGGCTACAAAGGAAATATAAAAGGTTGTTGTGTCATCCGGACTAAGATGCTGTTGCATATTCAAGCCCTTTTTGTTCTAAGAAATATTTAGAAAAAGTCATGGTGTTTACTGGGCTTTTTATCGGTCATCACAGCGTGGTCTCAATATGTATGTCTGCATGTCATGCTGCCTGGTTTGGAGTTGCAGTTTTGTCTGCTTCTAGTTGACTATTGTGACTACCTGATGATAGAAAGGAGAGAAGAAGAAGAAAAAGAAAAAGGTGTCCAATACGGACACGCTGCAGGAGCTGAGAAAGAACAAGAAGGAGATGGAGTTTGAGCTGAAACTCGCCAAGGAGAAGGAAGAGATGCATGAACGAGAGAAGCAGCTGAAGATCAATCGGCTGGTTCAGGAGGTACAAAAAGAGGGGCTTCCCAAAGCGATAATAAACAACTGATATTTCAAATGTACTTCATCGCAACTTTCAGAGTTTCAAGTTTTTGGTTTTATCTAAAAGTAACCACAATGTCTCTCACTCAACAACGCTGCTATATTCTGACGCTGCCTCAGGTCTCAGAGACGGAGAGAGAAGACCTGGAGGAGTCGGAGAAAGTGCAACACTGGGTGGAGCGTCTCTGCCAGACTCGGCTGGAGCAGATATCCTGCGTGGAGAATGAATCCCCAGAGGTACAGAGGGAGACTGTCAAAACCTGTCTGCACTCGTTTGGCTTTTCCATATACTGTTTAATCCCATTCATTCTCCTTTTTTTGATAGGGCTCTCAGCATAGCATTGATACTAGTATTAACACACCTTTCCGCCATTACCGTTACCGTTGACTTTTCGAAATTACAGGAAAAGGAGGCCCTTTACACCACTATGAGTCCCTGCTTCACAATTATTTTTTGTATGTAGAGTTGGACAAATCATTTTTTCACCTGCTAGTACCTCAAAACTTAATTTATTTTCCAGCAAGTGAAATCTGAAGTTAAGTAAAAGAGAGAAGTAAAATATGACTGCAGTGTGAATTGTGAAATTATACAAAAAATGACCACACTCTTATCAATCCACTCCCATGTTTTATATTGTACATAGTGTGGACCATGTTTTTGCTCAAATGGTCTTCATTATGTTACTGCAGAGCATTTGTAGTAAGATGACAACATGCCGATTCAAAACTAGAGCCGATCTTTTCCAGAGGTGAAAAAAATATGCGTTTGTCCACTTCTGTTTGGAATTGCTCCAAATGGAATGGATTCTAAAGTAGCTTTACCTCAATCCTGCTGATGAATAAACAAACAAACTAGAGACATAACCTCCTGGGCAGAAGAACAATGAGACACTAATCTGCAGGAGAGAATTTATGGATGTGTGTTTTCCTCCTGAGTCGTATATTCTCAACAGGAGAATTAACACATGAACCATTTTTCATTTTGACTTCAAGCTCTCCCCCCCGCGCTCCCCCGTTGCGGCGCCCCGAGTTAAGCGCTTCCCTGGCGGCCTCCACCTGGCCACCACTGATCTGGATGATATTAACCTGGATGACGTGGATCAGAGCCTGAGGGGTCCTCTGAAGAGACTGGCCCCCACCCAGCCCAGCACCAGCTACCCTCCCCCTCCCTTGCCTCTCCCTCCACCATTACCCAAGCTGAACCCCACAATACACAACTACTCCCCTCCGTCCTCTCGAGCATCCCCACAGCGACGCCCTCCCTCCCCACCCAGCGCCAGAAAACCTCCCTCTGCTCCATCTACTTTACCCAACAAAGGACGAAGGCCTCACCCACAATCTCTGCCTCCCCAACACCCTCACCTGCCTTCCTCCCAATATCCTCAGTCGTCGAGGCCTCC